GTCTGGTGTCAGACTGGAGCTTTCTCCTGACTCACGTAGTTGCAGGGACTGATGAACCCAAAATCAGCAGCTCAGACAGTAGGCTGCTGGCTCACATCCCAAGAACCAGAGGTCAGAGGATGATGAGTCAGACGCAGGATCAAGAGAGGGTGAGCTTTGCCAGAATATCTATATATAATGGATGCAGGCCACATCCCCCAGGTAAGTCCCCTTTCAACTGATTGGCTGCTCACATCAGATCACAAAATGGAAAATGATTACATAATATTTGCCAAACCACTGAGAATCATGGCCTACGGCTTAGCCAAGTTGACACGTAACCTTCACCATCACAACCACCAAAAAAAAAAACCAAAAAACCCTGATGACTACGAATGTCACAAGTGCATACACTGTTGGTGAGCGTATAAAATGGAGTAGCCACTTTGGAAAACTGTTTGACAGTTTTGTGTTAAGTTCAATACACACCTGACCCATAAACCAGCAATTAGGATCAACTGAAGAGAAACGAAACATTCATTGAACACAAACCTGGAAACAAGTTAATGTTCATCATCAGGAGAATGGAGAAACAAATTGTGATACATTCACACAAAAGAATACTTCCCACCAATAAAAAAAATGATACACTGATACAACGTGGATGTGTCTAAAAAAAAACATTATGTTAAATGAAAGAAACCAGACAGAAAAGAGTACATACTGTATGACTGCATGCATTTAAAGTTCAAGAACAGACAAAATTAACCTATGATAGAAATTAGAACAATGGTTGCCTATGAGTGTGGGTGGGATCGACTGGAAGGTGCACAAGGGAAATTTCTGTGGTAATGCAAACGTTCTATATCTTGGTTAGAATGTTGGTTAAATGTGTATGTACGTTTACCAAAACTCATCAAAGCGCTTAAGATCAGTTCACTTCACTTTATGTAAATTTTACTTTAATTAAAATAAAAAATGAATGCATCTCAATTGGAAGTCAGTCTGGGGAAACCAAATGAAAGCAACTTAATTTGATTTATTTTTTTGGCAAGTGAAAATTTAAAAAATCTCTCATTTATTTAAATATTTCCTTTCTACCATCTATTTTGTACCTCTTTCCAATTTTGAGTAGCAGATCATGATTATTTTCACCTAAATAACTTCTGACCTTTGAGATAAAACCAAAACAACCGTGTTGCCGTCAAGTCAATTCCAACTCATAGTGACCTTAGAGGACAGGGTAGAACTGCCCCATAGAATTTCCAAGGAGCACCTGGTGGATTCGAACTGCCAGTCTTTTGGTTAGCAAACGTAGCTCTTAACCACTATGCAACCAGAGTTTCCATCCTTTGAGGTAGAGGAAAGAAGAGATGATACAGATTCACAGTTTTATAAATACACTAAGACCAAAGCAAGAGCTGCAAACAGGGGTTTGCACTTTCATTAGTTTGCAGCAAGAAGTGTTTAACTGTATAGAGTCACTATGAGTCCGAATGGTCTTGACAGTAACAGGTTTTTGGTTTGGTGTTTAATTACAGGCAGTTTATGGCTCTTCCAGCCTTCAAATGTTCCGTACTTAACCCCGCGAATATGGCCCCCGGACATCCTTTTAATTCAGTACTGAAGTCACTCCTGAAGTTCATCCTTCAGCCAAAAATTAGACAGGCTATAAAATGAACAATAACCACGTATACAAGACTAAATGGGGACACCACCGCAAAAGCAGACGAGAAGGCGGGAGGGGACAGGAAAACTGGACGAATGGAAATAGGGAACCCAAGGTTGAGAAGGGGAGAGTGTTGACATATGGCAGAGCTGGCAACCAATGTCACAAAGCAACTTGTGTATTAACTGTTTAATGAGAAGCTAATCTGCTCTATAAACTTTCACCTAAAGCACAATAAAAAAATAAAAACAAACAAAAATGTTCTCTTCTTAATAGGACCGTGCTTCCTGTGGGCTCAGCAGAATTGAGGATCAGAAGGATTGTACTGTGGATGACTGAAAAGCCAGAGTTCTTTCCCTACACCTTGACATTTTTAGAGCAGTACAGTGAACACTGTGAGAACCGGAACTCGACGGGACTGCCTTGTTTTTCCGGCTCTCGCAAGTTTTCTGCCTTTAACAGGGTGCAGTCTTACCACTTTTTTATTGCTCTCTATTAGTGGAAAATATTTGAGTTTTCCTTCTTTGACAGGTTTCCGCCTTACACAGGTTCTGGCTTTTGCAGGTTTTACTGCATTTAAAGTACTTGGGAGAATGCAATGCTGTCTAAAATGACCTGTTGGTTTATTTACTGTATTTAGCTTTTGGGTTTTAAATTTTGGTGCAGCTTTGTGAAATTATATATTGTAAATTATTGTGACCTCCTTCTTCCTTTTCCTTTTATAATACCCAGGTTCCGGAGGCATGCCTGACAGGATGTAGCGGTTTGTTCTTCTTGGTCTGAGAAATGTTGCCCCATCTGTGCTTCCTTGCTTCTGTGCCCAGTCTGCTCTTCGTATATCCCCAAAATGGTGTGGTTTAAGACACACTCTAAGCTGATATAGTCTCATTAATACAACAAAGAAAACCCTGCGCCCTAATGGGATTGCATCCACAGGTATAAGAGTTAGGGTTCCGACACATATTTTTGGGGGACACAATTCAATTCGTAACAACAGGGAAGGCTCAGATTTATCTAGAAGTAAGACTAGGGACTTATTAAATTATCTCTGGAAGTTGGATAGCTCTGTCCCATGATTTTGCAACTCTGTATTGTCTGTGGGTTAGCTGGGATTGATCTTTACCATCAGTCGTCAGTTGCCATATCCACCTTTCCCATCCTCAGGGGTTTAATTCAACATTAATGACAACATTAAAAAAAAAAAAATCGAACCAGTGGCTGTGGAGTTGGTTCTGACTCGTGGTGACCTCACGTGTGGCAGAGTAGAACTGTGCTCCACAGGGTTTTCAATGACTGATTTTTTGGAAGTAGATCAACAGGGCTTGTTTCCAGGGCACTGTTGGGTGGACTCAAACCTCCAACCTTTCGGTTAGCAGCTGAGCACATTAGCCATTGTGTCACTGAGGGACTCCAATGACAGCATTAGCCTAGGTAAAAAGTAATTAGGGAAACAAATCTTTATAAAATCAAAAATAATATGAGGGATCCAAAACCTAAATATATACATATATATATATATATATATAAAAACACCCCATTGCCATTGAGTCAATTCCGACTCATAGCAACCCTATAGGACAGAGTAGAACTGTCCCCATAGGGTTTCCAAGGACTGCCTGGTGTTAACCACTATGCCACCAGGGTTTCCAAACCCAAATACAATCGTGGTTTATTTCATATTTGTGTTCACATCATTCTCCCCACTCCTTTCCACTCACACAGCTTGATGCTTGACTGTCTTCTAAGCCCCTTGTACTGCTGTTGTCTATGACACCGGCAATGAGTTTTGCTGAAGGGAAAGCTTATTAACGTGACCAGTAAATTGAATAGTAAGGACAGCTTGTTTGCGGGACATCATTCTGAGTCTTAAGTCTGATGGAGTCAAAAAAACAATGGAATATTCCATCTACCCACTCCACCTGACTGTTTTGACTCCCCCTGCCCAGGGTCTGTTCCTCCCATGAGGGGTCAGAGCTGCCCGGCAGAGGCTGACCGAAATTGGAGAAATCCTGATTTTAGCTGTTTCAGAAGCGTGGCACAGTCTTTGCAGGATAATCAGAACCTAATTAAATATGGGGCAAAGGCTTAGAGTTGTTCCCGTTCTCCTCTATATTGGGCATGTCTGACTGTTGTTTTGGGGACTGTTGCTTTAACTACATTTCGACTGGTTCTTGGAACACTACCTCTGGTTAATTTGAATGAAAGTCTGTTTTTCAGGATGGAGTCAACTGACAGAATTTTCCATTGTTCATCCAATCTGGTGTAAATGGTTTGCCTGAGCTAGATATTTCTGGGCCCTGGTGGCACAGTGGTTAAGAGCTCGGCTGCTAAGCAAAAGGTCGGCGGTTCGAATCCACCAGCCGCTCCTTGGAAACCCTATGGGACAGTTCTACTCTGCCCTGTAGGGTTGCTATGAGTCGGAGTCGTGGGCTGGCAAGAGTTCTTTGTTTTTTTCCGGGGACGGGGGAGGTACAGTCCCGAAGAAATAACTGCTCTTGCTCCAATTAGAAAGTGATGACGCGGACAGCTAAATCAGTACTTGAAGCTTTTAATTTTTGTCACTGATACGTGAAACATACTTACACTGTCACAGAGGGAACAGCATTCAGCTGTGCTGGGTTTCCAACGCTTCCCAGCATTCGCATGATTAGCTTATTTTTTCCAGCACTGCTCTGTCATAACAACCCAGTCCTTTCCCTGCACCCCTGGCCCCTCGCGACGCTTTATTATGTTCATGCTGAAAGAAAAGGTGTCTGTTAATACTGTATCTCTTCATTTGGCTTCAGGGATTTCCCTTTGATTTGGAAAGAATAATCTTGCAAATTCCGCTATAAAATATACAAGAGAGAAAAGAAAGATTAAGCTCTAGGAATGTGCGTGGGTGTTGATGTTTCGTTCAAATAATGAGCTGAAGTGAGTTATTAGCATTGCTCATGTGAATGATCAATTATTGTCAATTGATCTGAATTATCAGCGGTGGTGTTCACCGTTGATTGACATGACATGGTTTAATTTGGTCTCCTTCCTTCTAGATATTACAACATGGTCAGTATACAACAGGTACCTCCAAGACACCATGAGCTCGTCCACATATCCTAGTTGCTCTTTCCCTGGTTCTGCCCAGAATGTTTATGGCGAGTAGCGAGCTATATATCTCCTCTTTGGCAGCCGTCCCTGGTTTCCTGTGGCATGGAATTGCCCACATTCACATATGCAAACAGAGGCTCACTCGAGTGTCACTGAAGGAGAGGAGGTGGAGCCGAAAGAGCTTTAAAAAGGAAAGGAGAGTCATTCCACTTTGCAAAAAGAGAAACTGCGTTTGGGGGAGGAACCATATCTCCATATCATATCTTCTTTCAGCCTCATCCAAGAGTCGTCGCTCGGGCTTTCTATCAATTCTTCCCTTTCTTTTGCCTCCCTAGCCTTTGCCTCACTGCTCTGCCTGTCACACTGAAGTCTGCTGCAGACCTGCAGACTTTCCCTGTTAAATTCTGCTAAATTTGACATAAGGGTGTCAGGTATTTCTTACTGGCTCCAGTAAACGCAGATAAAGAAATTTCTCTTGGAGTATCCCTTTCAGGCTGCATTTGGAAGCTGTCTTGAGTTGCAAGAGAAGGAAGCTGGAGGGTAAGAGCAAAACAGAAGAGTAAAAAGATGCCCCAAGGCCTAAGGCCAACCTCGGTGGGCAAGCTTGGGGTCAGACACACTCACTTGGCCCGGGCCCTTCTCTAGCAAAGTCAACTTACTTTCTATGGAAAGGTCAAACCCGTCAAGATGCTGCAGCTCTTCTTTATTGTTCTGTTGTCAGTAGTCTTTCCGTTCAGTTTTGTTAGCCTCTCAGCTTTGCAGCACTGGAACTGTCCTACGGGCCCTCCTGCAGGAAATGGGGATCCTACTTGTGTGGGTAAGTAATCAAATGAAAATCAACGCACGTCCTCCTGGGCGCTGCCGTCACATACCTACTCATTCTGTCTTATATACTTTGGCATTTTTTTCTGACTTGTTTTTGGACGTATATATTTGCTTAAATTTCGTTCACTGAGTAGTGTTTATTTTACCAGCAGTTAGAGCTCATTTGCTACCAACTATAAAAAAGTATGGCTCTCAAACTGTTCTTTTGTGTGTAAATATGCCTCATTTTTACTAGTTGAGCCTTTCCCTCAAGCATCAGTCTGTATTCTGACGTGAGGGGTGACTAAACCCTTAGTGGATTCCTCTTAGTCGATTAGCTTTATAGTGGAAACATGTTTTGTTTATTTATTGTTTTGCAACTGTCTGCGTTTAAGCCATAAAGGGGACGGGGTAGGGAATCCTTTTTTTTTTGTAACTTTGTGTAAGAGCTCAGAAGGCATTAATGTCAGTAAAAAAACTCAAGGGAATTGTGAACAAACATGATCCTATTGTTGTGAGTTTTAACCTAAGTTTAAAGTTAACCCCACTCCCCTGCCTCTCTGGCTGTTTCCGAATCTCTGACTCGGAGCTAGGGTTTTAGTAACAGGTGCACTGTGGAACTTGGACAGATGTTAAGAAATGGCAGTGGGTAAATAAGCAACACTTCCCCTCTAGATTAAATGCAATTTTTAATCCGGGGAAGACGAGAGTTTCCCTGAATGCAAGTGACAGTCCTGCCTTGAGACCTTTTCTGAGAAACCTATCTCTCCTCTTTCTTCTCTCACTCACTGCTGATTTATTTAATCCATGCATAGGTCTCCAAGTGTCGCTCAGACAAGGCATCCATTTCATCCGTTAGAGAGTGTGAGCCGCCCTGACCTTCCCCTTCTTGTCTTTCTTCCTCGTCACAGAGTGACACAGAATGGGAGAAACATTTCAAACCCATGCTGCCCACTTAAGGGTTGAGTTACATTGGAATATCACTGGAAGCATAATAAACAATAATACTTGCCTTTCAACATTGTTGTGGGGATCATGTAACAGGTGAAACAGGCCACCTAGCAGAGTAGCCAGCAGATGTGGTTGTTGTTAGGTGCTGTCGAGTAGATTTTTGACTCAGAGGGACACCATGTGACAGAGAAAAACTGCTCCATAAGGTTTTCTAGATTGTAAACTGTACAGAAAAGATCATTGAGTCTTTCTTTCCAAGTGCTGCTGGGTGGGTTCAAACCACCAATCTTTCGGTTAGCAGCTGGACTCAACGACTGTCCTCTTAGGCTCCATGTCTTGCCTAAGTCTCTGCTCAAATCATACCATGAGGTGCCTTATTGGAAGAGTGCAGTAATGTGGCAGAGACCCCATGGAGTTAGAATGTCTGGATGCCACTGTGTGACTCTGCCTCTTTGCTCCCTTGTTCCTTGCAGGTCACTGGTTTAAACCCCCTGCTTGACACTCCACGTCTCAAGTTAGCTGAGAAATGCCTCGGGCACACCCTACCATCCCCTGCATTTCAGAATATAGTATTTCTTCCTCTTCTCTAAATAGATATGATTCCATAGTCTATTTTCCCCCATTTAAATTCTTCTTGCCTTATTTCTTGCCCTTGGCATTGAAACAGATCACCTGTGCTGCCAGCCTGATCCAGCAGCAAGGATACTTGGTGGTCTGAGAAAATTCAGATAAATTGATGCAAGGTTGTTACTCCTGTGACTGCTCGCTGGATAAAACAAGTGAAGCAACACAGAATTAGGCTTTCTTTCCATTCCTTCGTTTTAAACTTGACTGAGTATTCTGTTAACTTCTATCTGAGCTACCGTAGGGAGGAAAGCAGTAAAGAAAACTGCTGGCAAGTGGCTTCTGAATTTTCAAGCCTATTGGCCCTGGAGAAGAAATATCATTGAGACAAGAAGTGTTCTGCTTACTGTCTGTACCTGCAGTATTTATAAGAGAAAGAAGTACAGGCTAAGTTCAGAGGGCTGGCTGCAGGAGGAATCCTGGGGCACTGAGTTGGCTGGTTGTGTAGATCACTTTTTACTGTAAACAGTGAAATGACTGATTTCAGCACTGGCTAAGGCTTGGTCAGCTTCCCAGTCATGTGCAAACCAGAGTAATTCCGTGATCAAGATCTTGTTTGTTTTTTCAGCCAAGGTCATGCCAAAAAAAAAAAAAAATTTTTTTTTTTTTTACATCTAACTACAAAGAAATTACAAGAATGATCTTTTATGCATAGCATGTGAATGAAACCCATTGTCGTTGAGTTGGTTCTGACTCATAGCGACCCTACAGGACAGAGTAAAACTGCCCCATAGGGTTTCCAAGGAGTGGCTGGTGGATTAGAACTGCTGACTTTTGGTTAGCAGCCAAGCTCTTAACCACTGCACCATCCCTAAATATACAGTAGTTTGTGGTCTTTGAGGGGTAGTATAGCTTAGAGATTGTTATTGAAGACTGACTACTCGTAGTGACTCCATGCACAATGAGATTGAATTGTGATGATCCATAGCATTTCCATTAGCTGACTTTCCAAAGTAGATTGCCAGGCCTTTCTTCCTAGTTTCTCTTAGCCTGGATGCTTCACTGAAACCTGTTGAGCATCATAGCAACACGCAAGCCTCCAATGACAGAGTGGTGGCTGTGCTTGAGGTTCATTGAACGGGAATTGAATCCAGGTCTCCATGTGTTGTTCTGTGCTGTCAAGTCAATTACGACTCATAGTGACCCTATACGACAAGGCAGAGCTACCCCACAGAGTTTCCCAGGCTGTAATCTTTACAGGAGCAGATCGTCAGGTCTTTTCTCCCGTGGAGCCGCTGGTGGGTTTGAAGCCCGGACTTTTCGGTTAGCAGCCCAGCGCTTAACTATTGTGTCACCAGGGGTCCTGCATGAAATGGGTAAATTCTACCACTAAACCACTGCTGCCCTCTAGCTTAGTGGTAAAGACTTCAAATTTTGGAGCCAGACTGCCTGGCTAGGTTCAAATCCCAACACAGCTGCTTGTGAACCACGTATTTGACTTTCCTTGCTGTAACATAATTACACCCTCCTTCCAGATTTGTTGTCAGGATTATTGGATGTATTTGTTTTTAATCCTGGCTGCACGTTAGAATCACCAATGTCCAGGTTACCGCTCTCATCAATCCGGATCAGTCTTTTCTGGAGGTGGATGCAGGCTTCATTTTTTCCTTTTTATTTTAAGTTCCCTTGGTGATTCTAACGGTCAGCCTGGATTGAAAACCACGAAGTTAATACGTGTAAAGTGCATAAAACAGAGTCTGGCACGTAGCAAGCACTCAGTAAATGTTAGCTGCTGTTATAGTTGTTTTAAAGTTATTATTATTAATAATGTTAGTAGTAGTAGTTTCAAATGTGGTTTGGTTTTCTCTATTGCTCATTTTTTCTACACATGGAAAAATATACTATATTGAAAAACCTGATGACAATTTTGTGGTGCATTGGTTAAGCGCACAGCTGCTAACTGAAAGGTTGGTGGTTCTCACCCACCCAGTGGCTCCAGGGGAGAAAGACCTGGCCATCTTCTTCCATAAAGACTACAGGCTAGGAAACCCTATGGGGCAGTTCTACTCTGTCCTATAGGGTCGCTATGAGTCAGGAATCGACTTGATGGCAAGGGGTTTGGTTTTTTTTTTAAAAGATAGTTTTACATCATTAAAAATTATGGTCAAAATATTTTCAACACATACAATTTGTATTTTTGTAACCAGAAGCAATGCTTATTAGAATTCAGAAACATCCCCAGACAATGTGATAACTCAGAATAGAAGCTACTCCCGAAGTCCACCTCTCAGCCAAAAATTAGACTGGCCTATAAAACAAACAACAACACACATGGAGAACGTGCTTCTTAGTTCAGTCAAGTGTATGAGACCAAATGGGCAACCCCTGCCCAAAAGCAAAGACGAGAGCAGGAAGGGACAGGAAAACTGGACCAACGGACACAGAGAACCCAGGGTGGAAAGGGAAAAGGGGAGAGTGCTGACACATTGCAGGGATTGCAACTAATGTCACAAAACAAGTTTTTGAATGAAAAACTAATTCGTGCTGTAAACTTTCACCTAAAACACAGTAAAATTTTTAAAAAATCTTTAATAGATAAATATAAAGGAAAATAACAATGAGCTACCTATTTCACCCATTAGATTGGCAGAAATTAAAAATTTAATAACATTCAATGCTTTTGAGAGGGTGGGGAAATTGGTACTCTCATACATTTTTGGTAGAACTGTGAATTGCTATGAATAATAATTGTAGAAGTTAATAGGGCAGTGTCTAATAAAAATTAAAATATGCAAAAAATACAAAAACATATCGAACTGATTTGAGCCAGTACCATTACAAATCTGCAACCTCGCTGGTTGTCTTTTATGACATCAGCTGATAGAAAATTCCATTCAGTGCCAAACTGAATCGATTTGTTAGATTTCTTAGCAGAAGGGTAATAATTTTATTTAAACAGCCATGGCAAAAACATGCTACTTGAAAGTGATAGTGATTATTTAAATTTTTTTGCCTATTTTTTCTTCATGTTTGGGACCCATTTCTCTAAGATTTTAAAGCTCTCAGGGACATACAAAGGGTTGCTAAATTAGTTCTTTAAATGAATTTACATTTTTAGACTAGTTTGGGGTTGTCCAGATTTTTGACATTTCATTTAGAAGTTGGAAGGTGGGAATAATTTCCTTGTGTATAGAGTAGAGCAAGTGATCGATTGTGTGCCATCCAAAAAAGTAAATTGGCTAGTAATTTGGTTCAAGTCAATTCAAAACCATAACCTTATAATTTACAAATTTGCCTTTATGAAAATGCACTTGAAACAATTCCATGTTTAATATGATTGGCTGGAGTTTTTAGACCCATAGTCTCCAGGCTCTGTTCCATCTGTAGGGGGAAAAAGGGCATATGCTCCCAATACATGTTTTTTATTTATCAATTGTTGTTAGTTGCTGTTGAGTTGGCTCCAACTTATGGTGACCTTGTGAAACATTGCCTGGTCCT